ATGGCATATACGGAACAACTTCTGACACACATCTTCAACGTATCGCGCAGCTGTTATGAAACCCTGGAAGTTTGAAGTTTGTGCGGCCTTCCATAAAAATGCCCAAACCATAACACCCATAGCTAACCATAAACCACCATCCCATAGCTTCTCATAGCTAAATGTTCTCCAAACCCTCTCTTGCTCGTCAGAAGACCTCAAATAAAACCTTGATTCATCCGAGAACAAGATTTTAGTCCAAATTTTCTCAGACCGATTGATGTGATTTCTTGCGAAACTTAACCGAGCTGTTCTGAGCCTTGTCAGTTCTGGGACTAGTGGCAGACCTTATAATCTGGCTTCTGAACGTCTCGCCTTACTACTGTCATAAAATTGCTTATTGTTGAAGTTGTTGCTTGATCTCAGCAGAGGTAGAATCTCGATTACGGAGTACAACGATCATCTCTCGATGGAAACCTGATCCATGCCTTCTTTGTAGCGATGGAAGTCCCTTTGGGCATGTTAAGCACCCTGGCTACATACACTTGACATCTTCCACCTTCCGACAATACTATGATTCTAGCCAAATCTTTATTATTTAAAAACCATCACTCAAACAAATTTGCAACTTAAAAATGGTACAACATAAAAAAAATCAAGCCACAGAAAGAAGCAAGCAAACTAACAAAGAAGAGATTCAAAGATTTATTTGCAAAATCCGTTGGTAAACACAAATGGGAGATTTTTTCTCTGTTTTATTTACCTCTAATCCTTTAAAACTGACCACATATTGTAAGATAATCAATGGAGGATTATCGAAGTGCTAATTAAAAATATTAAGGTTGGCCATCTTATTTTTTTTCCTCTTAGTGTGTATATACACAAACGAATAGAAATTGTGGACATTTTACTGTTTGGTCAGATTAAGGGACGCAGAAAGTGTGCAAAATCATTAGGACATCATAAATCATCAAATTAACATCGGAAATGATTACTGAAATTTTTCCGCGTGACCACTTTCAAAAAGTTAAGTCAAACTGACAAGAAACCATAAAATTTTTCTTTTGGTCTAAACAGTTTTCAATACGTCGAATAACAACGGAATAGTTTTTATCGGACTTTCACAGAATTTTCCTTTTGTTGACTCATTTTCGCACTCCGAATATCCGTGAGTCATGGCACGGGACTTCCGATTGCCATGATAAACGGTCACGGGACGACCATTCTGGCCATGTGGGGATATGCTTCCATGTTAAACTTCAGCTGCATTTATCCTGATTGGAAGTCACATAAGTCAACGTCAGACTTTTCCAATGACTCAAGTCATTTAAAATAGAACAATCGGATGGACGTTAACGATCCACGTCACATAAGACGGTGCAAACAAGCCAATTAAAGAAGTTATCAGAGGTTGAGCTAAACTTGCCGATATTTCAATCCCAAAGAGAATTATACCTCGCGTGTTTCGATTCCTATTCAAAGTGGTTTACATTTTTTTAACTTAGACCATTCCAGAAATGTTTATGTCGGTCAGGGATCACCCCACTTCCCTTGCTCTCTCCACTTGGTTATAGACCTTTACCCGCAGTTCCAGTTGGAACGGGAGTTCGACGCCCTTGGGGTCTTGGATAAAGAGTCCCAGTTCGACCTTGCTTTTGCTTCCATTGTCATCCCCACCTTGTCTTTAGACACCCTCTTATTATAATTGTTTCATTTTATAAACTAAACCCATTTAGAAGTTTGCCAATTTCTCCGTGGAATCGTGGACCTAAAAGTTTTGTCCTTTTGATTCATCCTAGTAGAAGTTCTTTTCAATGCCTGAACAATTAGACAATTATAAAGTACAATTGTTAAATTTTTATTTTTGAACTTTGCGAAATCGTCAAACGATATACCCCATTTGTATTGTACTATAACGATATACCCCAATTGTACTATAATAAAACTTAGGCCAATGTTTAGAATTCCACCCACATTGAGACAAAACAAAACTAACGATACAATATTTTCTGAATTCTCTTCCGTACAAGTACATATATTGTTAATCACACCACGTTTCAGTAAATCTTGAAAGAAAAAAGTCCTAAAGTCCTTGAGAGGACGTTCAAAGTTTTTCAATGTTAAACCACCTCCATCAATTTCGTATTTTGAAAAAAACAGAGTTTTTTCCTTCAGCATTATGGGCTGAGTTAATACAGATGGATTACTTTCTGTCAAGAAAATGAGACTTAAGATTAAGATTTTTTTTAATGTTACAACTGTATACTTCGACGCAACTAGTAAAACATAATATTTACATATAAACAATATTAACAATAGTGCGAAAGCTTCAACAGCAATCTCATCCAGTGATGGTAGCCGTAGGTTAATATGATGAGCGAAATGGTCTTCAGACTGTCAAGAAGTGATGTCGCAGGGCCACCGACGCTTCAGTCTTCTGTTAGGATTATTAGATAATGTGTATGACAGGTTTTTTGACAAAAGGGTTCAGATGATGGGGTAGTTTGGAAGGGATGTTTTGGGGATAGTTTAGTGACAAGAGGAACATTTAGGTCGGTATCGACGGTGCAATTGGAAAAATAAAGGGGCATTGATTATTGTTCTGAGAATTTTTGATTAAAAATTTTTAAAAGTTTGGTTTGTTCATTTATCTTTCATTGAGCTCTGAAAGTGTTGACAGTTTATTCCCCAGATATATTTAATATAATATTCATACACTCAGAAAAAAATTCTCCGAACACCTTCAGTGAAACAGAAGCAAACCTTTTTAAATTAAAACAATAATGGGCTAAATTGAGTAACTTGCAATATTAAACTTCCCACAACAAAATCCATGTGAACTTACGTTGAACAGTCATAGGTTCATTAACTGGATTGTCTCCAACCCCGTAAGTGGAGACAGACGATGCACATGTTCAACATGAACAACGTACATATATAGATTTATTTGTTTGAAACAAAAATTCTCTGAACGTATTATTTTAATTTGTTTATTTACTGAAACATTTAAATTTTATCTCAGTTATCTTTAAGTTCATTCAGTTTTTGATTGATAGAATTACTAAAGATGAGATGATGGATTTGACCTGCTGTTAAACAATTTGGGAAAAGGATTTTCAGTGAGGTCACAACAGTCTGACCTCACCGAAGATCGTTTTTCCAAGTTAATAGAATTAATTTTTGCTTCTGAATTACCGAAGGTAGGGAAGCCTTGTATTAAGCAGGAACTGGAAAAAAATATTGTCCTCCAAAATCAAAATTTCCACTCGTATTTTGCATTTCAGACCTTTATGGACAAATTTAATTCCGTGTCTGTCTATCGTCAATTCCTTGTAATGGAAAAACTTCAAAACCGTGAGGCCAATTTTTATGAAATTTTCAGAGATTGTGTGGGTTGCTTTCTAGATGATCCCCGATGAATGCATGCGCATGTACAAAATGCTTTTTTTTTTTTTTTTGTCACTTTTGAAAATGTATTAGTCCATTCCTGTAAAATGTCTTCTTTTAGATGATTTTGTTTTTAAGATGCTCTTCAATATGATACAAGTGCTCGATAGGTTTAAATTTTTAAATTGAGGTGGTGTCCAGAGTTGGCTAGGCATATTGTGTTTTCCGAGCCATGTGTTTGGAATCGTTGTCTTACTGGAAATGAAAGTCCTTTCTATACCCAATTTAATAATAAATTCAGTTTTAAAACATTGCTGTAGATGTACAGGACCATGATCTCATTGGTTATGTGTAAATTGCCAATTTTATATATGCCGTACAACCCCCAAACAAGCACACCTCCCCCATGTTTGAGCATCTGTAGTTTATTCTTTATTTTCGAGTGTTCCCAATACCCAAGTGCTTACCCAATACTTTCTTTTTTCTATGAGTCATAAATTTGCTCTGATCGGTGAAATAATCTACCAAAAATGTGTAATTTTTAGTGACTGTTAACTAATGATTATTTAGAGATCGTAAGATGCAATCTGGTGTGGTGTTTTATTGGGATGCTCTTCAGGGCCCGGGATTTATAAACGTTGTTTAAATTATACACAAACATGTAAGATTATGATGTACACAATATAAAAATTTTAGGTTTAATCAAAGTATTTATACTCACTCAAAGTGTGTTTTCTGTGTGTAATAATTTCTATATTGTGTACATCATTACATATATTCATAGTCATATCTTACATGTATTTGTATAATTTAAACAATGTGTATAAATTCCAGGCCCTGAAGATGATCTCAATAAAGATCAAAATGTTAGCACGATAAAGAAAATATTTTTTTAAACCTCCATCACACTAGACCGCATCTCACGATCTGTAAATAATCTATCAAAATGCTAACTGGAGGCGCTGCTCCCTGTTCTTCTTGTTTATACAGGGCTTCTTTCCGTGATTGTGTCTGAGCATTGTTTGTTTTTTTGTATTTTGAAATGGTTTGAGGCGTAACTGAAATATTATAATCCGGATCAAGTCGTATTGTATTGTATTAATTCATCAAGATAAAAATGCAAAATAAAATCAGCCTTTCTCTTTTCAAACTGATGCTCGCCTTGTACAGTTGAGGTCTTAGTTCATGAATTTATGATTATGTGTAGGAAGTCTATCCGCTTAAAACAATTTTAAACACATGCCTGTGTTTTCTGCACATATATGAGGTTGTTCTGCGATCGTGGGATATTTTCAATGAGTCATAGTCAAGAGAATTGTGGGAGAGAAAGGTTTTTAGTGATTCTTGGATTGGGCTAAAATTGGTTTATATATTTTTCCTGAGCAATTTTATGAATTAAATCAAAACAAAAAAAAAGTTTTACTTCATTTTATAATTTTTTCTGCCAATTTTTCTTATCATACACAAAATTGTGTGAGCTTTTTAAAACTAGTATTGCCATAATTCAAAATGTGTAATAGAACTAGTGTCAACACCTCCACAAATACAAATTTAGATCAAATATGTCGAACAGAAAAATTTAATATTTGAAAATTTACTAATTACTTGAGTAACGTGTTATTATTTTTTTCCAGACCTACTCCGGGCTTTTCTGCGTGGTCGTCAACCCTTACAAAAAGCTGCCGATCTACACGGAGAAAATCATGGAAAGGTACAAAGGGATTAAAAGGCACGACCTACCACCACACGTCTTCGCCATTACCGATACAGCTTACCGTTCCATGCTCCAAGGTAAATTTGAACAAATTCTTATACCTGTTTGGTCTGTTAGACGAGTGGTGAATTAAAAACGGTTTCAGTTTCTAAAGATCATTGTACATTGACATCTTGAAAAATAAAAAATTGTATTGGGTTTTTGAAAATTATTTTCTCAAGGTATTCTAGAAAAAAATCGTTCAAACAGGAGAAATTTTATATTAAACATTTAAATGTTTAATTTTATACCTAATTGGGTTGGTCTTTTAGACAAAGTAGTTAATTAAAAACGTTTTCGGTTTCCCAAGGACCATTATACATTGATAGCACTGGCATCTTGGAAAATAGTAGAAAATTGTTCTGTGTTTTTGAAAATTATTTTCTCACGGTTATTCTAGCTAATTAAAAAATCCTTCAAACAGGAGCAATTTTACATTAAAGTTTTAAATCAGAAATCTGTTCAAAAGTTAACATTTTTCTTTTCAAAAATTATTTTCTTCAACTAATTTTTAGTTGTACGGTTTGAAAAGTTGTTATTCTATTCTATCTACAAAACTGTCACATTAATTTGTTATCAGTAGAATAATTTAGGCTTCCGATCTTAAAATGAGGCCAGCTCTATTGTAAAATGTCATTAGTAATGTTATTCAATAATATTTCTGGGAATAAAATCTGTCGTTAATTAATAGTGTTTTGCTGATTCAGCGATACGCCTGCTGATGACAGTTAAATTAAAAAAATTCCAGTGTATTTCCAAAGCGATGTTATAAAATCATTAAATTTTAGAATGTATATTATACACTTTTTGTTAATGGAAAATTTTTCTAAATTCAAAAAAGTTTCTAGTAAAATATTCATTTAGATTAAAATCAAATGCCAATTTAGAAAGTATAAGTGTCCATCTCATATTTTAAGACAATTTTAATTTTATGTATTGACTATAATTATTTGTAGTGATGATGACCTCTAAGGTTTCAGCCAAGTTAAATTTTTGGCTGTTGTTTTTTAATGTTGTAACTGGGATTCTACTCACTTCTAATTTACACTATTCACAGTCTTATTTTACAAAAAAAAAAAAATCTATTAAACATATAAAATCTATTGTTTTATTATTTTTTACAGATCGTGAAGATCAATCTATACTTTGCACTGGTGAATCAGGAGCTGGAAAAACTGAAAACACGAAGAAAGTTATTCAGTATCTTGCGTACGTGGCGGCGTCCAAGCCCAAATCTTCCGCCACGCCACATACGGTGAGTAACTGTTTAAACGAAAGATTATTCTAGGCATGCAAATCATTTTTGTAAATATACTCTAACGGTTCTATCCTTCCATCTGTGGGCGACGTTTCGGTTTTGATCCTTTACAGAGTTGAAGGGGGTGTTGCCAAATATTTAATATGAACAATTTTTAAAGACACTGTTTGCAAAGCAAACAAGATAAGGAAGGTAAATTGTAATTTTTTTTAATTTTCTTGGTTCTTAGATTTTGAATTATTAAATAGATTATAGAGGAAGTACAAAAATGCGTTTTACAATTACATCTGTTTATTTTAAATATATAAAAAAAATTTAGGAGGCATCTTAGGTGCTAGATGTAATTTTAAAATGAAATATTGTTTTATTTATAATTATAAAAATATAATATTAATCATACAGGTTGAATGAAAAACATGTTTGGTCACCAAATAAAGAGAAACATTTATCTTTTTGTAGGTGTATGGATGTCTTGTTTAAAAAACTTGTTTTTTTTTTGTTTTTTTTTGTGATATTTATCTTAATTTGTGAAAGTGAGGGTAGGACCCTCTCAGTGGGAGTAAAATTATGAGCGTCTCTTATCTGCTCCGAATATCTGTTTTTTTTTTTTTTTTTTTTTTTTTTTTTAAGTATTTTTATTATTCTGGGCATGTGTTGTAAAAGGGTTAGCAAATTTTCAAAACAACTGTTGTACACAACAACATATTAATCTCCGTGAGATTTCAACGCTTCAATGCCAAATAAGGACAGGATCTAAGCCAAAGCTTGATACCATTTATGGACATACCATCCTTATCTCATTGCTTATTCAGTTTTACTTATTTCTTGCGATTAAACATAAATAAACTAATTACTTTTGTTTACGTTACTTTGATATAAGTGATAGATTATTATGCAATTATAAAAATTACGTTATAGCCATTCTTCTTAGCTGTAAAACAGGTCCATATGTTTTTTTTTATTGTGATCTTAGGTTAAGACCTTGCTTTTAAACACTGTTGACCTACATTTCTTTATAAGGTATCTTGCCATAAATGGACTTGGAAGTCCTTTGAACAACTCAGCCTGCTTATTACAATCTACCTTGATGATAGGTGTTTTTCATAATTTGAAATAAGCGATTATTTTTTACAGAATCCTTTTTTTTCTCCCTTTGGGTATTGTTTCATTCTATCTAGATAAGTGCATGTTTTTGGCATGTTATATTAAAATTAGATATATTACAATATTTCAAGATCACAAGCGCATTTTTTTTTTTTTTTTTTTTTTTAATAAAGCATTTTGAATATTTAGTATTTTATATGGAAGTAAGAATTATTTTGATCTCAGTATTATTTACATTGTAGTCATTTGGATATCCTTTTTTTTCTGTTTTATTTCTCTTGGCACCTGCACTGCATGTTTGGACTGCACAATTTTGGTGGCCAATCAATTGGAATGCGATCACAAATCAAACAAAACTCAGGCTCAAAATCAGGCTCTGATCATTGTAAGTATTCTGTACCTGAAACAAAACTAGTGTTAATAAATGTTCTTACCATCAGTAAAAAATGTCAGGTCGTTCAAAAATTTAATTGTATCTAAGTTTATTTTAAATAAATTGTCTAATTTTTTTTTACATAAAATTACAACCGCACCTTTTAGAAATAAGTATCAATTAGAATTTGTACTAATAATTATATTGAATTTTTTTAAATTGTAAATTTTATGTAATAAAAGAGAGAACATGTTTTAGGAATTTATTAATAATTTATATATACTATCTGCATACTTAATGTAAATGTTAAACAAATAGATAATTTATTTTGGCTATAATATAAAAATTATTGATCTAAAAATATTAAGTATGTTGATAACATTGCCTTTTTTCGGAATCTCTCCTTATATTTTTTTTCTTTTCCTTTTGTTACATGCTCCAAAATTCAGCCAACAAATTTTGCGGTATGTTAAATGAGTGTTGTAATGGTGTGTTTAGTTGTTAATAAACTATGTGTTTATGGTTGAGAGTTTTTTTTTAACAAATTAGTTCTGAGAAAAAAAATTGTTTTATGTTCCAGGTAAAGTAATAAAAAATTGAACTTAAATTTCAGCTTTAGTTAGTACTAGTATGAACTAGTAGAGAAGCTATTTTTAAATTTTTTTTAGCATGAATGCACGGTTTTTCTTTTTATTTGCACTTTTCAATTTTTGGCTTTTGATTGGTTTTTACTGTGATTTTTTTTTTTTTTAAATATAATTTTTCCTTTAATAGGGTGAACTAGAACAACAGTTACTCCAGGCAAATCCAATCCTTGAGGCATTCGGTAATGCGAAGACTGTGAAAAACGATAATTCATCGCGTTTTGTAAGTTCTCTTATTTTTCAAAAATACACAACCTGTTATAATTTTTGTTTGATTAATTTTTACAGGGAAAATTTATACGCATTAATTTTGATGCTTCCGGTTATATTGCTGGTGCCAATATTGAAACATATCTTCTTGAGAAATCAAGAGCCATCCGTCAAGCTAAGGATGAAAGGACTTTTCACATTTTTTACCAACTTCTTGCTGGTGCTTCTGCTGAACAAAGAAGTGAGTATATTAAGTTGGTTTTTTTTTTTAAGTTCAGAACAGGTTCTGAAAAAAGCACTGCCAGAATCGCGACCGAGTTTTAATTTTCCCTCTTAATTTTTAAATTTATATATTTTTTTAACTGAATTTGACATTATGTGGATGTAGTGGCTTATGTCACAACGCTTTTTCCACACTATAGAAGAGTCCCCTCCCCAAATCTCGTGCTTACAGTGCAACCTCCTCTTCTCCATTTGAACAGGGCCGTGTCGTGGTGACCGTCCTGGGTTTTCCACTTTTTCAAGCTGGCCATGTCCTCGATGTCATCCCCAAAATTGGAGGCTATTGGGGTTGATACGAGAGGGGTCAATGGCTCAGCTAGGGGCGAGAGTGACCCCCGGGGCCGGACTCATTGCGAGAGCGATGGGAGTGGTACTGAGGGCTTTCAGGTGTTCCTGAGTCGCTGACTTGTAGAAAAGGGCTCCGAAAGAATCTATTAAGGTCAAATATCTTTTAATCTTGGTTTAAATTTAGTTAGAATAATATTTAACTTTTATTTAATGTTTTTTGGTTTAATTGAATTTTGATGAAGGCTAATTTTGGGCCAGTTTGTAGTTTTTAAAGGTGTTGGGTTTGGGGTGTAAAATATATATATTGTTTTGAATAAATTTTTTGGGGCTGTATTTAGCTTACATTTTAAATTATTTTATTTCCCTAGGATAATTTGGGACTTGTTTTCTTTTGCTTTTTTTTTAAATTTGGGGACAGGTCGATCTACATAAATGATCCCTCTCTTGCCTTACCAGTCCAGATCGTCACATTGATCAGCCTGCCTTTGTTTATGGTTCAACGGAATGCAAGAAAAAGGTTTTGTGTGCCAGAATATTAACCGTGCAGATTGTCCTATCAACAACGAAAGATCATCATGTCCAAAGGACAACCGGGCCACAAAAACCCACTGCTTTCAGGTTGAACGGTACTTGTCCAGCCCCTGGAAAAATAAAAAGATATTCTTAGCATGAACAGTGGGTATTTTCTGTTTCTCCTAACCACACGGCACACTCCGACAGCCTAAAATGCTCGGAGAATTCCATTTAACACACGGTCCAACAGTATTGAAATTTTTAAGATAAATTAAGATTCTTTTGATCATTCCCTATCAAAACAACTTATCAGAAGAGGAGTCTGATAAAGTTGAGTGATTCATACCAACAATTCACATGGTGCGTAACTGACATTTACAATTCTACAATAGGATGATCAAATTATTAAAAGGCACATATTCGATATTAAGTGCACCAGGCATGAAGTTTGAAGTACTTCATGTTCTGAATGTGTAATAACCAGAGACCGGATTTTTTTTCAGTAAAAATTGCCAAAACATGCAGTTGAAAGTCCTGAAATATGCAATAATATTCTGCAGTATTAATACTTTAAAATATGCAATAATACGCAGTAAACCAGATTTTTTACTATCAGAGTAACTTTAAACAGAAATATAGGTAATTAAACAAAATAGATATTTAAACTCTTTAAAACTAAAAATAATTAATATTCACAAGTGTGTGGTGATTAGTGACCGTTAGTCTTTGATTATTTGAAAATCGTGAGTTGTGGTCTGGTGTGTTGTAGGTTTCAGAAAACTTTTTCTTTATCGTGCCAACGTTTCGATCTTTATTGAGATCATCTTCAGGCCCTGGGATTTAGAAAAATACTTCGATTCAATATAAAAAATATATTTTTTTGCATTGTATAAATTCACTTTTTTCCACATCCTATATGTATTTATTAAATTTAAACAATGTTTGTAAATCCCAGGCTCTGAAGATGATCTCAATAAAGATCGAAACGTTGGCACAATAAAGAAAATGTTTTTCTGAAACCTACATCACACTAGACCGCATCTCACGATTTCTGAATAATCAATATTCACAAGTATTTACAGTTTATTTACATTTAACAAAAATATTTTCTCACTTACATAATTAAATTATGTTTTATATTAATTGAGTACAATTTTGTGAGAATATTGAAGTAAGACCTAGGAAGGGGTTTTATATAATTTTGTCGGTATTCCTCGGATTTTCTCTTCCCGTCGTTGCAGCCTGTTTCAGTTTTCTTCAAATTAAACCGACTTTTCATCAACTTTTTTTTAACAGATTTTTTTATGCTTCCCTCGAAAACCAATATAATTTTTTAAAATATTGTGCACGATTTTACGTAAAAATCCTTCAAATATGCGATATTGTTCAAACATGCAATGTATGCGATCACCAAATATGCTCTATAAAATTTAACCTTCGGCTTTCTAGTTGCATGATTTGGATAGATAATTGATTTCCTCGGTCGTATGTGGTGGCAAATAAAATATGCAACTGCATAAAAATCCTCTCCAGTAATAACAATGCCAGAACACTAAACCAATTGGTACATCGTAAAGTGAAGTACTTCATCATACAAGAGGGCTTACCGTCCAACTACCCTTTGAGTGTTGCAGACGAGGGTCATACCACTTGGCAATACTGCTTTTATTCAGTTCTAAATTAAAAATCTATGAGCTGAGCTAGGAATCGAACCCAGAATCGCTTATGTGGCAAATACAAGTTGGACGCCATATCCACTCGGCTACCGCAGTGCCCGTATTTTAATTGGTTCATTGTATTCAATAAGATGTTTTTTCTTTCTTTTGAGCAGAAGAGTTCATACTTGAGGATCCCAAGAATTATCATTTCTTGAGCAATGGTATGGTACAAGTGCCTGGAGTGGATGATGCTGGAGATTTCCAAGCCACTATCGGGTCGATGGCAATTATGGGAATGACGAACGAAGATCTTTCAGGTAAATTTTACATTTCAATCTATTTTTGTAGTTTATCTTAATTATATTAATTCGCGTGTTTTTCTTTACAGCTATTTTTCGCATTGTGAGTGCCGTTATGTTGTTCGGCAGTATGCAGTTCAGACAGGAGAGGAATAGCGACCAAGCGACCCTCCCTGACAATACCGTCGCTCAGAAAATCGCTCACCTCCTAGGCCTTTCGATTACTGAAATGACAAAAGCTTTCCTCAAGCCTAGGATCCAAGTCGGACGCGAATTCTTAACGAAGGCTCAAACCAAGGAACAAGTCGAATTCGCCGTCGAGGCCATTTCGAAAGCCTGCTACGAAAGGATGTTCCGTTGGCTGGTGAACAGAATCAACAGGTCGCTCGACAGGACAAAACGACAGGGAGCGTCTTTCATCGGTATTCTTGATATGGCGGGTTTTGAAATATTCGAAGTAAATATTTCGATGATGAATGATATGAAGAATATCGGATCTTTTTATTAATAAGTTCGGCCTTTTAGATCAACTCTTTCGAACAGTTGTGCATCAATTACACTAATGAAAAGCTCCAGCAGTTGTTCAATCACACAATGTTCATTCTGGAACAGGAAGAATATCAGCGAGAAGGAATCGAGTGGAAATTTATTGATTTTGGTCTCGATCTTCAACCTACAATCGATCTTATCGATAAGGTATGAAATTTATTTCATCCTTATAATTTCACTATTGCTTATTTATTGTTTTTATGCATTATTTATTTTAGCCAATGGGTGTTATGGCCCTTTTGGATGAAGAATGTTGGTTCCCTAAAGCAACCGATAAGAGTTTTGTGGAAAAATTAGTCGGCGCACATAGCGTACATCCAAAATTCATGAAGACTGATTTCAGAGGAGTTGCCGATTTCGCAATAGTGCATTACGCTGGAAAAGTATGCTATTTTTTTATATATTTTTCATCAGACTTTCATAAAGCAGAGGTTTTTATTTAATAAAACTTTGTTTTTCTTAGGTTGATTACTCGGCTGCACAGTGGCTTATGAAAAATATGGATCCTCTGAATGAAAACGTCGTTTCACTCCTTCAGAATTCACAAGATGCGTTTGTCGTTCATATTTGGAAAGATGCTGAAATCGTTGGAATGGCTCATCAGGCTTTGAGCGATACTCAGTTCGGAGCGAGAACAAGGTAAAACTCTATTTTTTTAAACCGTTTTCTTTAATTAAACTAAATAGATAATAGAACATCCTCCAAAATAGAGTATTGAATAATTCCAATACTTAACAATTAAAATATAACGTATGTTTTCCCCTTCAATTGCAAATAACTTTCCCAATAGTGCAACTGAAAAGAGGTGAGTTCACTTCTCTGGCTCTTCTTCGTCATAATTGCTCAGTTCTGAGAAATAACATTAAACCGTTTTGCAGGAGAGGAATGTTCAGAACTGTGTCGCAGCTTTACAAAGACCAACTGTCAAAATTGATGATCACGCTGAGAAACACGAACCCAAATTTTGTTCGGTGCATTTTACCTAATCACGAAAAGAGGCCGGGCAAAATTGACGCACCGTTAGTTCTCGATCAGCTAAGGTGTAACGGTGTTCTTGAAGGAATAAGAATATGTAGGCAAGGATTTCCCAATAGAATTCCATTCCAGGTAATTTAAAAAATAAAATAAATTAAAAATACAGTAACTTTCAAATAAAATTATGCAAACAGGAATTCAGGCAACGTTATGAACTTCTCACTCCAAACACTATCCCCAAGGGTTTCATGGACGGTAAAAAAGCATGTGAAAACATGATCAACTCCCTCGAGCTTGATAAAAATTTGTACAGAGTTGGTCAATCCAAGATTTTCTTCAGGGCCGGAGTGCTGGCTCATCTTGAAGAAGAACGTGATTATAAAATTACGGATCTTATTGTCAACTTTCAAGTGAGTTGTTTTTACAAATTTAAGAAAAGAACCGAATCAAAAATATTTTCTTTTGTTTTCAGGCGTTTTGTCGAGGTTATCTCGCAAGAAGAAATTATCAGAAGAGACTTCAACAGCTCAACGCCATTCGTATTATTCAGAGGAATTGTTCGGCTTACCTTAAACTGAGGAATTGGCAATGGTGGCGACTGTACACTAAGGTAATCTATATTATTCAGCTGATTCCGAATGAATATCTTAAAAGATAAGGCTTATCTTCAGATTTAATTTTGCCTTTTATTTCCCAGTGATTTGTTATATAAATTCAAATGGAAATGTCAACGAAAATCTCTTATCATTCAATATTGACTAATAGCGATTCTAAAATTTTAACCGTAAATCCTCAGGTCAAACCCCTTCTCGAAGTTACAAAGCAGGAAGAAAAGTTAACACAAAAAGAAGATGAACTGAAACAGGTCAAAGAGAAATTAGAGTCCCAGTTGAGGAATAGCAATGAAGTCGAAAGGCGCCTCCAGACCGCACTCGAAGAAAAGGCAGCTCTTGCTGAACAGCTACAGGCAGAAGTTGAACTCTGCGCAGAAGCCGAAGAAATGCGTGCGAGGTAAATAGAACGCTGAATACATTTTAAAATTTATTCCATCACTAGAAAAAATTATACGACCTCAATTGTAGATTATCGGTACGCAAGCAGGAACTGGAAGAAATACTGCATGATCTTGAGGCCAGAATTGAAGAGGAAGAACAGCGTTCCAATGTCTTAGCGAATGAGAAAAAGAAGCTTCAGCTTAACATTCAAGTGATTCATACTTTCAATCTTGGCTTTAATATTGTTAACAGAAATTACCTATTTTATTTATTTTAGGATCTTGAAGAACAATTGGAGGAAGAGGAGGGAGCGCGTCAAAAACTCCAACTCGAAAAAGTACAGTTTGATGCACGACTCAAAAAAATGGAAGAAGACCTTGCTTTGGCTGAAGATAGCAACTCGAAATTAGTCAAGGAAAAGAAGGTACTCGAAGAGAGAGCTAGCGATTTGGCACAGACCCTCGCCGAGGAAGAGGAAAAGGCGAAACATTTGGCCAAACTCAAAGCTAAGCATGAAGCGTCCATAGCTGAACTCGAAGAAAGGCTTCTAAAAGATCACCAACAAAGGCAAGAAATGGACAGAACAAAAAGAAAGATCGAGACTGAAGTCAACGATTTGAAGGAACAGTTAAACGAGAAAAAAATCCAAGTCGAAGAGCTCCAACTCCAACTCGGGAAGCGTGAAGAAGAACTGGCGCAGTCCTTGATGAAAATCGATGAAGAGGGTGCTGGAAAAGCACAAACTCAAAAAGCACTTAGAGAATTAGAATCCCAGTTAGCAGAACTCCAGGAAGATCTTGAAGTGGAAAAAAATGCCAGAGCTAAAGCTGAAAAACAGAAGAGAGAGTTGAATGAAGAACTCGAAGCCCTTAAAAACGAACTCTTGGATTCTTTAGATACCACAGCCGCTCAACAGGAACTCAGAACAAAGCGGGAGCAGGTAAATTCTATCATTTTATTATAAAATGCCGTTAACAGTGCTAATTTTATATTTATTTTAGGAATTGGCAACTCTTAAGAAAACTTTAGAAGAAGAGACTCAAATCCATGAAGTTTCTCTGACTGAAATGAGGCATAAGCATACGCAAGAAGTAGCAGCGCTCAATGAACAACTGGAAAATATTAAAAAATCCAAAGCATCGTTGGAGAAAGCCAAATCACAGTTAGAAGCCGAGGTCGCTGAGCTCGCCAATGAACTATCGACCGCTGGCGCCAGTAAAGGAGAGAGCGACAGGAAGAGAAAACAAGCAGAAGCTTCCCTCCAAGAAATGGCTTCCAGGTTGCAAGAAGTGGAGCGTGCCAAGGCCGACCTTACCGATAGAGTCGCAAAACTGACAGCTGAAGCCGATTCGATATCGCAACAACTTGAAAAGGCTGAACTCAAAGCATCAACGGCCGTCAAAGATTCTGCAACTATGCACTCGCAGTTGCAAGAAGCCCAAACTCTTCTTGAAGACGAGACCAGGCAGAAATTGTCACTGAGCTCCAAATTGAGACAGCTCGAAAGCGAGAAAGAGGCGCTTAGAGAACAGCTTGAAGAGGAGGAAGAAGCGAAGAAAAACCTAGAAAAGCAAATAGCGTCTCTCACTCAACAGGTTGCAGAATGCAAAAAGAAAGCCGAAGAAGAAAGTGAAAAAGTTACTGAATTGGAAGAACTTAGAAAGAAATTATTGAAGGTATTGTTTTGTTTTTTATTTAATTTTCAAATTCATAAAATAAAAGGATCAAAGGCTTTAACGACAAATTTTTCTTCCAGGATATTGAAACACTTCAAAGGCAGGTTGAAGAACTGCAAGCGGCTAACGACAAACTAGACAAAGGAAAGAAGAAACTTCAAGCCGAATTGGAAGACGCGACGATCGACTTAGAAGCCCAAAGGGCTAAAGTACTCGACCTCGAAAAGCGGCAGAGAAATTTTGATAAGATCCTAGCTGAAGAAAAGGTAAACCTCGTTTAATTCTTGAAATATTTTGGTCTCTTATTTGTTGCGATTTTAGGCCGTATCAGAAGCTATCGCGATCGAAAGAGATTCAGCTGAGAGAGAAGCGAGAGAAAAGGAAACGAAGGTCCTCTCGCTGACCAGAGATCTTGACGATTTCATGGAAAAAATTGAAGAACTCGAAAGGAGCAAGAGACAACTGCAAGCTGAATTGGATGAGCTTGTCAACAATCAAGGAACGGCAGACAAAAACGTATGTTTCATGATCACCATTGTTAAAAACAGAACATTTCCCATACAAGTTGACTTATAAATAACAAATCATGAGTAAATTCAGTCAATAGTAAAAGTTGAAAAGTATCTTATACTGCATGAAAACTATTTAAAATATTGACAATCAATCAAAAAATCTCAGTCAATTATATCATAAGATGACACATTTTTACCTATATACGAAGTATATCTGTCATAATAGGTATACTTTTCTTGTGTTTTTCTGAACATGGGGAAAAGAAACAGGAAGAGGTAAGGAATCAGTGGAATATTCCCTTTTTCTTAAACCCCTTCACTTTTTCTTTCTATTATTTTTATTTAGTAGCTGTAGAAGCTTTGCCTTATTTTTTTTTTACTTTGTTTACCATTGTGTTGTTTTGTTTTATCAGTAAAGGGGGCTCGACCAATTTTGGAGTTAAAAGTTTTTTTTCCCAGTTAGAATTTTTTCTGCATTTATAAAGGATTTGCAATTTTGAGCACCGGAAGTGCTAAAAAATAGAGATTTTTGACAATTTTTTAAAAATTTAATGTTATTATTTGATTTCTTATTTTATTTTTTAATTAAGTAGATTTTTTCTGCATCATTGGATGTAAAGAATTTGCAATTTTGAGAACTGGAAGTTCTAAAAGAATTGAACGTTTTAATTTTTGAAAATTTATAAACAAACTTTATTAAACTAGAATATTTTGTGCAGCATTTGGTGTTAAGAATTTGCAATTTTGCGCACCGGGAGGCGCTAATAGAATTGAAAATTTTTGCCCAAAAATATTCATTTTTGACATTTTTTAAAAATAAATTAGATTTCTTGTGCATTGTTTGGTGTAAAGGATTTGCAATTTAGAGCACCTGAAGGCGCTAAAAGAATCGGAAAAATTTGACTTGAAAATTTTCGCCAAAAATATTTATTTTTGAATTTTTTTAAACAAAATTTATTAAACTTGATTGTTTGAGCATCGTTTTGGTGTGATGGATTTGTAATTTTGAGCACCAAATGGTGCTAAAATGATCAGGAAATTTCGGCCAAAAAATTAATTTTTGAAAAATTTGGCCAAAAAGTTTTACAAAAAAAATTTAACAAATTTTATTAAACTAGATTTTTTCTGCATCATTTGTTGTAACAGATATGCAATTTTAAAAACAATGTGCTAAAAAAAATTAAAATTGTGATTTTTTATCATTTTTAAACAAACTTTATTAAATAAACTAGATTTTTGGGCAACTTTTGGTGTAAAGGGTTTGCAATTCTGATCACTGGAAAGCCAAAAAATATATTTTTTTAACAAATTTTATTGAATGACTGTTTTTGCATCGTTTGATAAGTGCTAAAAAAAATGAAAATTTTGATTTTTTGACAATTTTTAAACAAACTTTATTTAACTAGATTTTTTGGTGTAATAGATTTGCAATTTTGAGCACCATAAGGGCTAAAAAAGAATGGAAAATTTTGATTTTTAAAAATGTGCCTCATTAAAAAAACTTGAAAAATATTTCACAAAAAATGCCTAGACACTCTCCTACTCCTTCGTATTGGATTACTGTTCAAAAAAAAAGTATAAGTAAACCCATTCTTCAGGAAAAGAAATATTCCTTCAGGCAATTTTTTGAAATACATTTTCAGACAGTTTTTTTTAAAAATAACTATCCGCATTAAAATTTATACTAAAAAGTTCACAGGAAAGCATTGATTAAAATGAGACCAATTATGATTTGGTCGGATCATTAATTCACAAAATATTAAAATAAGAATGGAGGGATTAGGAAAAAGAATCAATGAATTGGTTGGCCCCCTTAAATTATTACAAAATCAACTCTTGACCCCTATCCTCAATCCTAACCTGCTAAAGCTTGATTTAGATATTTAATATAGTTAATTCCAATTATAAAAATTTCACACAATTATCACTAATAAGGCTGATTAAAAGCAAATAGGATAAATAGATGTAAAAAATGTATTTAACTATCAGAATTTATGTATATTTGTCAAATTAAACTCCTATAATTTGGGTTTAAAAGAAAATATTATTAGTGATAATTTTTTTAAACTGATATTATGCTAAACTAAACATATTTTAGAATTTATATGAAATACTTACCTACATAAATTACATTCAAACTGTCCTTCGTTAGGTTCACGAGTTAGAAAGATCCAAGAGATTGCTCGAAACTCAGCTTGAGGAGCTTAAATCCCAAAACCAGGAAATCGAGGATGAACTTCAAATGACAGAAGATGCCAAGCTCAGATTAGAAGTTAACATGCAAGCACTGAAGACTCAGTTTGAAAGAGAATTGCAAGTGTGTACCGATCCGTAACAGTTTTCATAAAAGATTTACATATATTTTGACCACACTGTATTTTTTTTATTTTAAAGGGTAAAGAAGAGTCTAGTGAAGAAAAGCGTCGTGGCATTCAGAAGCAGCTAAGGGATGTTGAAGCAGAGCTTGAAGATGAAAGAAAACAGAAAGCCGCCGCCGTCGCTGCTAGGAAGAAGCTCGAGGCCGATTTCAAAGATGTCGAAGGGCAGTTGGAAATGCACGCAAAGGTCAAGGAGGACTTGCAGAAACAGCTCAAGAAAGTACAGGCTCAACTTAAAGACGCTCTCAGGGATGCCGAGGAGGCACGGCTCGGGCGAGAAGAACTGCAAGCCGCTGCCAAAGAGGCCGAGAGAAAATGGAAAGGCTTAGAAACTGAGCTGATTCAAGTCCAAGAAGACCTCACTGGAAGCGAAAGGCAGAGACGGATAGCTGAGGCTGAGAAGGAAGAACTTCAGGAAGAACTGACTGCAAATAGCAAACAAAAGTAAGACAATTTCTTTTAGAAAAAACCTTTTAACTGATTATAATGTTGTTTTTATTAGCTCTCTCCTTCTCGATGAGAAACGAAGACTCGAAGCGCAGATTTCATCATTGGAAGAAGAGCTTGAAGATGAACAGAGCAACAATGAAATTCTTATGGACAGAGCTAAAAAAAGTCAGAGTGTTGTCGAGCAACTTACCTCAGGTATGATCGCCCAGGGTGTATATTTGATTGAAATTATTAACGAACAAGCGCATTTACAGAGCTTGGCACTGAAAAAAACAATAACCAGAAACTTGAAGGTGAGAAAATGTCACTTGAGAGGCAAAACAAAGACTTGAAACTCAAGTTGAACGAATTAGAAACAAATCAACGCACAAAGGCCAAGATAACTGTAGCAAATCTTCAAGACAAGATCAACAATCTAGACGAACAATTAGAAGCAGAAGCAAAGTAGTTATTTTTTTATTCTTATTTTTTCTAACAAGTTTTCTCTATAAAATTGTATACGTAAATGCATATTTTTTTTAAATTTAGGGAAAAACTAATGCAACAGAAGATAAACAGAAAATTGGAGAAGAAAATCAAAGACCTTATGGTTCAACTGGACGACGAAAGAAGACATGCTGATCAGTACAAAGATCAAGTAGAAAAGGTAATTAGGTCAAATTTTCATTAATGCATTCGGGAGCAGAAGTATGCGTGATTCTCTTTAAACCAAAAACGCTGTAACTTTTAAGCAACCAATTTACTAACCACAAATGGCAAACAGTAGAGAAAATCCACAGGAACTGAGTTGAAAAGATGGTAGTATTCCAAAGAAACACCCCTTGGCCCACAAATAATATAGGAGAAACTTGACCTGTAATAACGTGGACCATAGTTTTCAACCAATTAATGGCTATGACACATGCAATTTTGACCGAAGTCTTTAACTATTTAAAATTTAACATAAAAGTATTTAAGATCAGTAACAGTTACCGTGTTGGTTTCCCTATTCCACCAGATTGCCGATCAGTGCTGTGTCATTTTCCAATATTGTCAATTGGACTAGAATTTGGATTTATATAGGCTCAAATCCGTACATAGTACATACAAACAAGCGCTGAGTTGAGTTTATCGCTTCTCGTCCACCGGCAATTCCAGCTTTTGCTATTTACAGTAAACTGCTGGCAGACTCTAGAATCATCCACCCCAAGTGTTGGCAGTCCGAGGACAGACTTCAGTCTTATTTGTCCAGCCACCAAGGTTTGTGTCCGGGGGGGGGGGGTCAACAGCTAGGACAATTCTGCATCCGAGTCATACTACTCATTCATTCAGCTTGGGTGATGGAGTACTCGATATTTCTCCATCACATTTTACACAACTAACCTAATTGAGGGTCGATGGGTACTAGATATTCTGCCATCGATCCTCTCTCTCACACACATTCACTCTAATAAGTATGTTCACTCTCAACACATCCTTTACACATATTTTGGATATTACACCATTGACCCTCCTACATCACATATTCATGCTAATAAATACAATCACTCTCAACACAACCTGTGCACATATTTTACAGTGACCCTCTCACACACACATTCACTCTAAAAAGACATTCACTCTCAACACAACCTTTACACATATTTTTGATATTATGCCATCGACCCTCTCACATCACACCTTCACGCTAATAAATACAATCACACAACACAACCTTTACACATATTACACAACTAACCTAATTGAGGGTCGATGGGTACTCGATATTCTGCCATCGACCCTCTCTCACACCCACATTCACTCTAATAAATGCATTCACTCTCAACACAACCTTTACACATATTTTGGATATTACACCATTGACCCTCCTACATCACATATTCATGCTAATAAATACAATCACTCCCAACACAACCTGTGCACATATTTTACAGTGACCCTCTCACACACACATTCACTCTCAACAAAACCTTTACACATATTTTACAGCTAACCTAATTGAGGGTCGATGGGGTACTCGATATTCCGCCATCGACCCTCTACATCGGGCATTCACGCTAATAAATACAATTACTCTCTGCACAATCTTTACACATATTTTACAGCCAACCTAATTGAGGGTTGATGGGGTACTCGATATTCCACCATCGACCCTCTACATTGGGCATTCATGCTAATAAATATATTCACTCTCAACACAATCTTTACACATATTTTACAGCTAACCTAATAGAGAGTCGATAAGGAAATCGATATTCCACCATCAGTCCTCTCACTTCACACATCCACACTAGTTATACATTCTTGCTAATAAGTACCATCATGCTAATAAACACATTCATTCTCAATATAAACTAGGTATACACATTATTATTATTATTATTATTTACAATAGAACAACTTTGTTTCTTCCAAGAACTGGAACGGGATCCAAATACTTCGTGCCATGCTCGAGCACAATTCTCAAATCCTGTGCGCTCTCTGTATGGAGCCAAGGAATGGCACGCTTTCATTAGGTGGTACAGATCGAACAACCTTTCTCTGCATGGCCCAAAAGTGTGTCAACCTCACATGGCCTATTCTTAACCGGGTGAGAATGACCCTTCTTCGATTCAGATCCTCCGAGGGCCCCCCATCAACAGTGCTATTAATAAGCGAGAGCTTCTCTGTCGATCAGGACCATTGATTCTGCCACCTTCTTTGAATTGTTTTTTATTGCATTCTTAGTATCAGAAGACAGTGGTTTAGTCTGGAGTAGGGAGCCTTAGCCGCCTCGTCCGCCTTTTCATTGCCCTTCAGACCTAAGTGTCCAAGTACCCAGACAACAACCACCATTTTGCCGAGATGTTCAAGCTCATGGTATCTCTCCAATAAACGACAGGGTCAACGGAAAACCTGTCACGGACCTGCAGTAACCGTGCTGACTAGGTAGACAGCCATTATCGTCTCGAATCACCCATGCGCGTGCCAAATTGCAGTTCTGCCATGTAAACAATACAGTGCAGTAGGAGCAACCACGAAGACGAGTGCGTTTACATGGAGAGAAACAACGAAACACTTTGATGCACACTAAAAAACCGACAGCCGGTCAGCTCACCCTAAAACTTCCTCACGCCAAAAATTTCGCAGCCCCGGCTAGGTATCCACAATGCTAGACAAGTTTCGCGAATCAGTTTTACGAATGATTTTCGAGCAGTGGAAACCCAGCTTTAAACTTTTGAGATATGGAAGTTTCTTTACACCCTCCCTCCTCGAAAGTTTGTTTTCTTGTCCATTAGATTCAAGATGTAATATGTTATGTTTTAGGTCAACATCAGAGTGAAAACATTGAAGAGAGCATTGGACGAGGCAGAAGAAGAAATGAGCCGAGAAAAAACTCAAAAGCGTAAAGCATTGAGAGAGTTGGAAGACATGCGGGACACTCATGAAAACATCTTGAGGGATTATACCAACCTTAAAAAGAAAATCAGGTAATTCGTCTTGATATCGTTGTAAGATATTATTTTCGAGTGTGACATATTCACTAAAAACGGTTGCATTTGTAAAGAAGAGGGGCTGGCATTTCTGGTCTGAGTTCGACAAGGTTAGGCGGAAGTAAACGTGGCTCGATCACTTCCGAAGATCCTCAAGGTCTCAATAACACCACCGATGAGAGTCTGGACGGTGATGATCTTTCTAACCCTTAAGCCACCTAAAAGTAAGAAAACAAATTATATTCTTTTTATTGGAAAAAATTATAACTAAATCTCTGTTTTAGAGTGTTACGTCCAAATTTTGCATGTTGAATATAAATACAAAGTGGAACAAACATATTCCAAAAGTGGATAAAACTTTCAATAAACTAAAAACAAAAGGTGGTTGTTTTTTTTTATTTTGGAATTTAGCCAAATGTACTTAAAAGTACTATATTAATTAATAAATTGTAAATTTCTTCTTGGAAAAAACAAGAGGGCTGAACCGATAGCACTGGTCAAAAAAATTGTTAAAATTATTATAATTGTAGTAACTGTAAATCAATATGCTCTTTCAATATTTTTGTTAAATAATAATTAATATATTATATAGTCAATTTTTGTACACATTCCCCATCTGGTAGTGAGATCATATCTCAAATTTATTGTTACATTTTGCTTATTTATTTCTTGTATTAACATTTTGTAATGTTCTTTTTTAAATTTTATTTTATAAATACATTTATATATATTATAGTGTCCATCTATTGCGTATTATGTCTATCGTATCAGTTGGTTGGTAAATTTTTTTTTTTTAAACATTGAGCCGAGATGCCTTAGTATTTGGGCTTTTCTTGTGTTGACTGTTAAGAGAAGCTCGACAATAATAACAGTACTATTGATGTACAAATTTACAATTAAATGTGTCATAATACTTATATATGTACAATTAATAATAAAGCTGTTTAATGTGTACTAACTGGTTGCCTGTTATTTTTATTTTTATTTTATTTTATTTTATTTTTTTTTAATTATTTTTTTTTTTTACTGCGAACAAGGCAAAATTCAAACCATCTAACGATGTATAGACTTTTATATGTAAAACATTTTCTATATACCTGATCCTGGAGGGGAAAAAAGTATAAAGATTTATACTTATTTCCAGTATTTATGCAAACGATTACCGATAGATATACAATTTACTTTATCGATTAATTTGTGTAAATGTTGTTCAAATGGATCGGCTGTTATATTCGTATGTGAGAATGAAAGCGAATGATTGTAAATAATATTAATATTATATAAGAATTAATAAACAATAGATATAGACAAATTTATAACCCTAACGGTAAATTTTTTTTAAAAGGGTATTATGAAAGAAGGTTGGGGACAAATCATTTTAGAACCTTGAATTGTAATGTAAAATGGTAATTTAAATAAAATGAAATGGAGAAATAAGTTGTATTGTTTAATTTATCTTACATTGATTCCCTTAACAATAGTCTGTCGGTACAAAATTAATTAAGGTTTTTAGTTGAGATAAAAAAGTCAATGGCACGAGCGGGATTTGAACCCACGATCTTCGGCTAGATCGCTGCTCTGCCACTATCGTGACCTCGATCCACTCGGACACCAACTTCCCATCTCAACCCCCTTTTGAATTTTCCCTCCTTTTTGCCATTTTTCAAATGTGTAATCAATTTGATTCTCAGCGACAAATGAAATGGCCACGCAGAGCTTTAGTGAAGTATACTTCATTTGAAATCATTAAATTCACTAATTTCGTGGTCCGCTTGACCAATTAATATATTACAATTTATTAAGGTTTTTAGTTGAGATAAAAAAGTCAATGGCACAAATGCAGTATTAGAACCTTCTTTGGCTAGGCCATCCGCCTTTTCATTGCCATGGTGTCCTTTATGTGCAGTTTCCTCCACCAGTTGTGAGGTTGACAAATCTTTTTGTAATGCCATAAGACTAGCCTGACTGTCAGAAAAGATTTTAATATTTTCCCATAATTTTATTTTCCATCAGTGTTCTACAACACTGTTTCTATTGTGTGTTCTACAACACACAATAGGATGTTATTGCCAAGATGGGAGGAGATGCTGATTCCTAATTTTTGTATGTAAATTCCTGCACCACTCCCTCTACCTTTGATAAGTGAACCATCTGTGTAGCAGTCTATGTTACGATGGTCATCATCCAGTATATAATCATAAACACAAGGGGTGACTATCTGAAAGCGCTTTTTCCCCGATAATCTTTTTATCACTAACGCTTAATAATTGACCGTTAACCTTACTCAATAGTTAACCGTTAACCCTAACCATCCCTTACTAACTATAGCAACAGTCTTCCTGGGTTATGTTCTACCATGAGGACAAATATCTTTATGAGGAGCAACAGTAATCACAAATCTACTTTCTGTTATCCCATACGTGGGAAATAACGTTATCTTATGATTATGGGGAGGATTTTCCATTGAAAATGCCACATTAACACGATTTTTCGCTATACACTTCCTCATACCATTCATAATTACAGCTTTAGTAATAATTCACTTACTATACTTACACCAAACAGGCTCTAATAACCCACTAGGAGTAAACAGCAACACTGATAAAATTCCATTTCACCCATATTTTTCTGTTAAAGATATAATAAGATGTATAATAATACTATTATTTTTTATATTAATAAACACTATAGAACCTCAACTTCTAGGGGACCCTGAAAACTTTATTCCAGCAAACCCATTAGTGACCCCTATCCATATCCAACCAGAATGATACTTTTTATTTGCATACGCAATTCTACGATCTATCCCTAATAAAATAGGGGGTGTAATCGCCATATTAGCAGCAATTAGAATATTAATAATTTTACCTTTGCTAAACAAACCAAATCTTCCCAATTCTAAATATTACCCCCTAAGAAAAATATTATTTTGAATTTTTTGTTTTACTTGGTTATTGCTGACATGAATTGGCGCTAAACCAGCCGAAGAGCCATACATCTTTACAGGCCAAGCCCTATCAACTATGTATTTTATATACTTTATTTTGTCCCCCCTAAGATCAAAATTTTGAGATAAAATAACTCAATAGTCAAATAGCTTAAATTTAAAGCATGTATTTTGAAAATACAAGATAGAAAATAAACATTTCATTGGCTTAATTTGAATTAATTAAGAATTCTGATCACAACTAATAAATAATTTAATGAAACAAGTAAANATCTTAAATCAGCCCCTCAAAACAAAATACAAGTAAAAGTTCTTATAAAAAGAATATTTATATATTCAGATAAAAAAATAAATGCAAAACCCCCTCTTCTGTACTCAATATTAAACCCTGAAACTAATTCAGATTCTCCCTCGAGAGATTTTCATGTGACAAATGTTATTGCACTTATGATTCCAGCTGCCCTCGCTTATTAACCTGTAGCAGCTGATTAGTGCTCTGACCTTAACCTCAATGTGAAGTGGTGTGGTATTTATGATTTCAAGTGCAAGGTTGGGTGTAGTTGAAAATGCTCCTGTCATCATCAAACAACCTAGTCTTTGAAATGACAATTTATTACTATTCCCTTTATTTTCTAGACCTTTCCACCACACTAAAGCTGCAAAAAAGAATCTAGGTAGAATAATTGCAGCATATAGCCATTTGGCTACCCATGGTTTGATGCCTCATGTTTTACTGTGTGTGTATGAAGTCCTCATGAATGTACCACCATCCCTAACCATTCTATCCCAAATTTCAGATTTTATACGGAATTTAAAATTAAAATACCCAATAGAGCGGACTGGAAGGGATCCCAGTTTATGACGATCACATCTTGTATACAGTTGGCTATAAAACTGATCTATGGAAATAAACCAAGAACTAGAATTCAAGTCTTAGGTCTTTCAGGCAAAGACTGTGCCAAGATCATAAGGTTAGGTATTAAAAACAAAATAATAGCCATCTACTGGGACATCCAGGCAGCACTAAAGGCATAAAGTCCTGTCAGACATTGAAGAAAACAACAAAATCATCCTTTGTGTACCCAGATCATACTGGTAACTGGCCCCCCTCTGGGCTGATAAATTGGGGGGGGCCAATGTTCAGAAGGGCACTATCAGCTCTGAATTTTTGCGTCATACCAGACTGCCAAAAAAGTAGATCCATCAGGCAATCACAATAAGTACTCAGTTCATTGGGAATAATGTATTCCAGAACAGAGCCATACGTAAAAAGTTCATAAAAGGACTAGAATGATAGGAACTGGATACTGCAGACTCCAGAAGCACATGTACAGACTAAGACCAGCAAAAACAAGCCGGTGCAGATGTAAGAAAAAAGAAGAAACAGCAAAACATGCCCTTGGTTTATACGAAGGATGAATCTGGCTGAGTCTTTCTTATTCCTGGATGGGAAAACGCCACGGCCTGAAGTAGATACAAGATAACCCTTAAAGTTCATAAAGAGTCTGACTCCTTCTAACCTTAACCTTAAGGGCTTAGCAGGCAATATTACATGAGAAATTGCTTAGTTTTACATAAATTAAATGTGGAATGAAATTTTCTGTCAATTATATCACAGATTTGGTATTCTGAGAAACATTGTTTCATATAAATATCTGCTTGCTTATCAGAACTTATAATTGTATTTATTAATAACATTCTTAGACTTAGTGTGGAAAGGAGATATTTTAAAATAAGAAGTGCTTGGAATTTATTATCAATACGATAAAAGATATTGAAGGAGAGTAATTACAATGTTGACAGAGAATTGGACTTTATAAAAATTACAATTATTTTACTATGAATGGCAAAGTGAAATATTTCCCTTTTGAAAAGCTTGCGTCTTGCCTCACCCTTTTTATATCCCTAACAGGGCTAGATCCACTTAGACACATCGAAGAAGCAGAGGTAATGAGTAATCTAGTTTACACAGTTAATTTGTCTTCTCTTCTGAAATAAATACATGTACTTAAAACATTTAGTTGTGAGGTTTATAACTGGTGCATTAATATAAAGTGTAACAATTTATTTTATATGAAGAAAGTTAATTTAAAGGAATTATTCATAAAAATTAACAAAACTTTTTTTTAAACCTTGGGTCAACGAGGGATTGAACCTGCATTAAGACATTTGTGGTCATTTTTGGCACATCTTTAGTTCTGCTTGTTGATTAAATTAAAACTAAGTCGTTTCTGATCATTTTTGGTCTGCCTATCAATACTGTTTTGGCCGTAGCTTTATCACCCTGCGGACCTCAACAGAAATGCCGAAATTCATGTAGTTTCTGATCTATTTACGATTAAAATAAACGCGTGGGAGTTCTTTAGTTCTGCTTGTTGATCAAACTGTAACTAGGACATTTATGATCATTTTTGGTCTGCCTATTAATCCTGTTTTGTTCGTGGATTCATCACCCTGCAGACCTCAACAGAAATCTCAAAATTAATGTAGTTTCTGATTTATTTACAATTAAAATAAACTCGCAAGAGTAATTAGTTATGCGTTGATCAAACTGTAACTAGGTCATTTATGATCATTTTTGGCCTGCTTATCAATCCTGTTTTGTTCGTGGATTCATCACCCTGCAGACCTCAACAGAAATCTCAAAATTAATGTAGTTTCTGATTTATTTATAATTAAAGGAAACTCGCGGGAGTAATTAGTTATGCGTTGATCAAACTGTAACTAGGTCATTTATGATCATTTTTGGTCTGCCTATTAATCCTGTTTTGTTCGTGGATTCATCACCCTGCAGACCTCAACAGAAATCTCAAAATTCATGTAGTTTCTGATTTATTTATAATTAAAGTAAACTCGCAAGAGTAATTAGTTATGCGTTGATCAAAGTGTAACTAGGTCATTTATGATCATTTTTGGTCTGCCTATCAACACTGTTTTGATCGTAGCTTTATCACCCCAGCAGACCTCAACAGATATATCAAAATTACGGTAATTTCGAGTTAACTTTCGATTAAAAATTCGTGAAAGTCCTTTAGGTCTGCTTGTTGATCCAACAGTAACTAGGTCATTTCTGATAATTTTAGGCCTGTCTAACTGTTTTTGTCGTAGGTTCATCACCCAGCAGACCTCAACAGAACTCTCTAAATTATTCGCGCTCTTTTGGTTTCAGACGCGTTTCGGCTGTTATACATCATCAGCGGAACGTTTGTTAGTAGCCTCAACCTGCTTATATCTCTGATCAGACTTGATTGAATTAAAGCAAATATATCTTTCTCTTTGTCTCTTTTTAGAATCCAAGTGGATCTTAGAACTTAAATTTTATGTGCAGTTTGGATCTTTTCAGGATCTTTATGATGCCTTGCTTCCCCCTGCTTATCTTCCTGATTAAAACAGCAAATATAGACCAAAATGATCGGGATAACCCAATGTAAAGTTTCATCTTTCTTGATAGTGATGGACCAGAATCTACATTATTTTTATTGGCCTGCCTGGACGTTTATACTTTTCGCCAATTAAGTTGTGTTCTTTAAGTTGTGACTTTGTTAAGTTTCTTGCCCTTGTTATACCCTGACCAACGATGTTCAAACATCGTCACAATAGATTTTAGAAAGCATTAAAAATGAAACAAAAACAAAAGTGTGGCAGACCAAGACTTTTATATGTTTATGGTAAAAATATTCTGACAATTTTTTATAATGTGATGATAAAAATAATCCCATGATTATATAATTTGTCAAAGCTTTGATTAACTGTAATTCATTATCATTAAGTCGTTAAGTCGATACTAATCATTATTACCCTGATCAACCTTGATTGAATTAAAACAATATCTTTCTTTTTGTGTATTTTTCTTTGTAGGTTCCAAGTAGATCCAATTGTTAATAAAAAATTTTTTGACGTTTAGGAGTGGAAGGTTCGTTACTTGCCTCAACCTGCTTATAACCCTGATCAACCTTGATTGAATTAAAACAATATCTTTCTTTTTGTGTATTTTTCTTTGTAGGTTCCAAGTTGATCTAATTGTTAATAAAAAATTTTTTTGACGTTTAGGAGTGGAACGTTCGTTACTTGCCTCAACCTGCTTATAACCCTGATCAAACTTGATTGAATTAAAACAAATCTATCTTTCTTTTTGTCCCTTTTATTTTGTAGGTTCCAAATTGATCTAATTGTTAATGAAATGTTTTTTGATTTTTCGGAGCGGAAGGTTTGTTACTTGCCTCAACCTGCTTATAACCCTGATCAACCTTGATTGAATTAAAACGAATCTTTCCTTTTGTCTGTTTTTCTTTGTAGGTTCCAAGTTGATCTAATTGTTAATAAAAAAAATTTTTGACGTTTAGGAGCGGAAGGTTTGTTACTTGCCTCAACCTGCTTATAACCCTGATCAAGCTTGATTGAATTAAAACAATATCTCTCTTTTTATCCAGACCAAGACGTTTATATGTTTATAGTAAAAATATTCTGGCAATTTTTTATATTGTGATGATAAGAATAATCCCATGATTATCTAATTTGTCAAAGCTTTGATTAACTGTAATTCATTATCATTAACTCGTTAAGTCGATATTATTAAAAGCTCAGTGCAAAAAACGTTCTCGGTGAATTAAGAAATTCCATCGAATTTCACACCTACATCACATTTTCACGGAAATATTCCTCCAATATTTTCTATTTTCTATACACCGATAATAAAAGTTATCTGAGTCAGTGTGACTCAGTCCAATGTTGGATTTTTTTAAAGAAACATATTTGTCTATTTGAATGTATTACAGAAAAAAGAACACTGCCTTTTTGGCAAAACACGCTCGGACTTCAGTACCAGTAAGTGCTCTTTCAAATTATAAATATCATAACAATCAAATGACGTCAAATATTTTCGTTAAATTCATTCCAGACCGTATAAAATTAGATTTATAAATAGATTCACCGGAAGTATACAAAAATAATTTTTAGGATAATTACATTTACGTATGAATTGAGATTTTTTCGAAAACAAGTAAGTACAACTTATTGTTCTGAATAAAAATTTCCCACTGAAAAACTAAGACAACCCTGAAAAAACCGTTCCCATGATAAGTACAATTAGAAAAATTTTGCAGGCTTAGACAATAATCCTAGTCCAGAAATGGTCTTGAGTC